TAGGAGAAGGAAAGCGAGAGTGCTCTCCAGAGTAAAGGATCCTTTGTAAAACTCATCCATAATCCCAAACACAGGAGTAGGGTGTTACACTCCATAGTGGCCCGAACCTGTATAATCCGATTGTGTGCAAGCTAGCCGGTAGTCTTAGGGGCGAACACGTGTTTTCCAAGAGGCGAGCCTCAGCCCCCGGCCGAACTCACGAAAGGGGGGTCTTGCGACTCCCCGCCATCGAGGATCTTCCCTCGACAGCTGGCGCGCCAGGTAGGGGGAGTTGCGCGCTTCGAGAAAAAGTCGTTTTCTTCCGCCCCAAGTTTCTCTGGGCCCTAGACGATCATGGTCGAGGTCCTGGAGGTGGAGGAGGAGGCGGTGGCGTTTATCCCCACCCCGTCCGGGAGTGGGGATTCCGGCGAAAGCCGTGGCCCTCGTCACCACCGCCGAGATTCTCCAACTCCTTCCCGCCGCGAACCTTCGCGGTGGGAGGATCCCACCCGTTCGGGTGGTTCGGCCCTCTCCCCGCCCCCTGGCGGAGGGAGGCCGCGATGCGTCGGGGAACGCCGCCGTCTCGTCTACGGAGACGGCGGTTCGCCCCGAGGCGCGCTTCAGGCGGCAGGCGCCCTTCTGCGGCATCCCCCGGTAAACCCGGTGCCGGAGACTCCCGTTCAGCGCTGGCTGGACGACGTGGCCAACTTAGTCACCACTGCCCAGCGGCAGTTGGCCACGGGTGGCCGATCCGCCGCCACTTATACGTCGCGTACCCCGGTTACTCTCTCCTCGTCGGCAAGGAGGAGGGCCCGTCGGTCGGCCACGATCTCAAGGCGGTCCACAGCTCCAACATCGTCGGGGGCCTCAGGAAGCCGGAGGCGTTATGACGGTCTCTACGGGAAGCAGGACGCTCGGATCAACATCAAGCGACGCTGGAACGAGTGCCGAGCTGCCCGCATGGGGGAAGGCGCCTCATCATCTGGAGTGCCACGCTCCTGTTCACGAGGCGGCCCTCCCCCCACGCTCACCCTTGGGGGGACAGGTTGTAGGGCCTTCGTGGCGAGTCTCCGGAATGTCCGGTGGCCCCCGAAGTTTTGCCCCAACCTCACGGAGAAGTATGATGGTAGCATCAATCCCTCCGAGTTCCTCCAGATCTATACCACGATTATCGTGGCAGCGGGGGGAGACGACCGGGTCATGGCGAATTACTTTCCCATGGCCCTCAAGGGTCAGGCGCGTGGCTGGTTGATGACCCAGCCCCCCGACTCCATTCACTCCTGGGAGGATCTATGCCAGCAGTTCATTACGAACTTCCAGGGCACATATCCCCGCCCGGGGGAAGAGGCGGACCTACACGCTGTACGGCGGAAGGACGACGAGTCCCTCCGCTCGTACATACAGCGCTTCTGTTGGGTCCGTAACACTATTCTGTGCATTCCGGCCCATGCGGTTGTGTATGCATTCCGGAACGGCGTGCGACACAATCGCATGCTGGAGAAGATCGCCTCCAAGGAGCCCAAGACCACCGCCGAGCTCTTCGAGCTGGCGGACAAGGTGGCCCGGAAGGAGGAGGCATGGGCCTGGAACTCTCCTGGCGCCGGTGCGGCGGCCGCGGCTACCCCCGAGTCTGCCCCCCGCTCTAAGCGGCGAGATAGTAGAGGCAAAAGGAAACCGGCCCGCTCCGATGACGAGGGCCATGTCCTTGCGGTAGATGGGCCCGTACGGGCCCCACGCAAAGGGAAGGCCACCGGCGACAAGCCGAGCTCCACCGCTCCCTCCGGCGAGGGCCGGTCAGCAGACAAGTGGTGCTCGGTGCACAACACTTACCGCCACAGTCTCGCCGACTGTCGCTCGGTCAAGAATTTAGCCGAGCGATTCCGAAAGGCCGATGAGGAGAAGCGGCAGGGTCGACGGGAGGGCAAAGCTCCCATGACCTCAACCGGTGACCGGCGATCGGAGGCCAAGAACAAGGCCCCCGCTGATGATGGCGTGACAGTGAGGATCTGGATTTCCAGATACCTTAGGGGACCGTCGCCACGCTCGACGGGGGGGCTTGCGCTCACACCTCTCGTCGAGGCTTCAAGGCCATGAGGCGAGAGCTTCTGGCTGCCGTTCCCACGCACGAGGCGGTCCGGAAGGCGCGCTGGTCAGAGGTGAAGCTTACTTTCGACCAGAGCGACCATCCGACGGTGCTCGCTCGGGGAGGGAAGTTGGCCCTGTTGGTCTCCCCTACCATCCACAACGTCAAGATGAAGAGTGTTCTTGTGGACGGGGGGGGGGGGGGGGGGGGGGCAGTCTGAGCATCATCTCCCCGGCTGCCTTTGACGCGCTAAAGGCCCCGGGGATGAAGCTCCAGCCGTCGCTGCCGATCATTGACGTTACTACGGGACATATGTGGCTGCTTGGCCACGTCGAGCTCCTGGTAACCTTCGGCGACTCCACCAACTTCCGCACCGAGCGGATCGACTTCGATGTGGCGGATCTCAATCTGCCCTACAACGCGGTCTTGGGCAGACCCGCGTTGGTGAAGTTCATGGCCGCCACCCACTATGCCTACCTCCAGATGAAGATGCCGGGTCCTGCTGGCCCCATCACCGTCTTTGGTGATGTCAAAGTCGCCCTCGCCTGCGCAGAGCAGCGCGCCGACAACCTGGCGGTGGCCACGGAGCCGCAGGCCCCAGGGGCTTTCGCGTCCCGCGTCTCCAAGAAGCACCTTACCTCGGCTGACGAGGTGCCCGTCAAGGAGATCCCCCTTGGCGATGATCCGTCCAAGACCGCCAAGATTGGCGGAACCTTGGACGCCAAATAGGAAAGCGCGCTCGTCTCCTTCTTGTGGGCGAATTCTGACGTCTTCGCGTGGAAGCCGTCGGATATGCCTGGGGTCCCCAGGGAGGTGATCGAGCACCGCCTTGCCGTACGACCGGATGCGCGACCCGTCCGGCAAAAAGTGCGGCGTCAAGCCCCGGAGCGACATGCCTTCATCAGGGAGGAAGTGGCGCGGCTCCTGGAGGCTGATTTCATCCGCGAGGTGATCAATCCGGAGTGGCTGGCGAACCCAGTGGTCGTCCCGAAGGCCAACGGAAAGCTACGGATGTGCATCGACTACACAGACCTCAACAAGGCATGCCCTAAAGATCCCTTCCCTCTACCACGCATAGATAAGATAGTCGACTCCACTACGGGGTGTGACCTTTTGTGTTTTCTAGATGCATACTCTGGGTACCATCAGATTCGCATGGCTAGGGAAGATGAGGAAAAAACTGCTTTCATTACTCCTGTGGGCACCTTTTGTTATACAACTATGCCTTTTGGGTTGAAAAATGCAGGCCCTACTTTTCAGCGCATGACTTGCATTACTTTGAGTAATCAGATAGGGCACAATGTAGAGGCGTATGTCGATGACCTGGTGGTAAAGACACGCCACCAGGACACGTTGCAGCAGGACTTGGCCGAAACTTTCGATAGTCTTAGGTCCACGCGCGTAAAGCTGAACCCCGATAAGTGTGTGTTCGGTGTGCCGGCGGGCAAGCTTCTCGGCTTTCTAGTCTCTTCCCGAGGCATAGAAACAAATCCCGAGAAAATACGCGCGATAGAGAGCTTAGGGATGTGCAGTGCGTCACTGGATGCATGGCCGCCCTGAGTCGGTTTATATCAAGGCTGGGCGAGAGGGCGCTGCCCCTATTCAAGCTCCTCAAGCGCTCCGGGCCGTTTGTATGGATGGAGGAAGCGGAGCAAGCTCTCAATCAGCTGAAAGCTTACCTCACTTCCCCCCTGTCTTGGTAGCCCTGGGGCCGGAGAAACCATTGCTACTCTACTTGGCTGCGACCCCCCATGTGGTGTGTGCCACCCTAGTAGTTGAGCGCGAAGAAAGTGAACGGGAGGCCCCTCTGGCTCGCGATGGTCCCTCGTCCTCCGAAGGCCTAGTGCCCAAAGCCCCTAGCCCCCGGGAGGGCCTCGAGGCCCCCGAGGGAGGAGGGGAGGCTTTGGCAAGTGGCCCCGAGCCCGAGGTGACCCGGGATCCCCCCGGGGCCCCCGAGCAGGGGCGCCCCGGGTCACCTGCCCCTGACAACACGAACCGGCCCCGCCGAAAGGTGCAGCGGCCCGTCTACTTTGTCAGCGAGGCACTTCGAGATGCGAAAACCCAGTACCCGCAGGCCCAGAAAATGCTTTATGCCGTTTTGATGGCCTCAAGGAAGTTGTGTCACTACTTCCAAGCGCATCGGGTTTCCGTAGTGACATCGTACCCCCTCGGCCAAATTTTGCACAACCGAGAGTGCACTGGACGGGTGGTAAAATGGGCCATTGAGCTGGCTGAGTTCGATTTGCACTTCGAACCGCGGCACATGATCAAAAGTCAAGTCCTGGCTGACTTCATCGCGGAATGGACCCCAGTGGACGAACCTGTTCCATCCAGTGTCCCTTTTCCCCCCGGAGAGGAAGAGGATCCAAACGCCGACATTCGTGGCGGGCACTGGATTATGCATTTCGACGGCTCCCTCAACCTTCAAGGTGCAGGTGCCGGAGTCACGCTGACTTCGCCAAGCGGAGACGTCCTCAAATACGTCGTTCGACTCGACTTCCGAGCCACGAACAATATGGCAGAATATGAAGGGCTCCTCGCGGGATTGAGGACGGCAGCCGGAATGGGCATCCGCCGTCTCCTAGTCCTAGGTGACTCCCAGCTGGTCGTAAATCAAATATCGAAAGAATACCAGTGCACCGACCCACAAATGGATGTATATGTCCGCGAAGTACGGCGCATGGAACGCCACTTCGACGGACTCGAGCTTCGGCACGTGCCCCAACGCGACAACATAGTCGCTGATGAGTTGTCGCATGTTGCGTCGGCACGAGCCCCACTCCCCCCGGGGACCTTTGAAGAAAGACTCGCACAACCATCGGCGTGACCGAACCCCTTAAGGGACCCCAACGACACGCCCTCCGCCCTGACCCCTGGCGACCCGCGCCCCTCGGGGCCCGAGGGGGTTGACCCCGACCCCCCTCGTCAGGTCGTGTGGATGACCGATATCTGGGCGTATCTTGACGGCAATACTCTTCCTGAGGATCGCGCAGAAGCTGAAAAGCTCGCGCGCATCTCCAAGCGGTACGTCCTCGTAGAAGGGACCCTCTACCGGCGTGCCGCCAACGGGATACTCTTGAAGTGTGTTTCTCGAGAGCAGGGCATCGAGCTCATAGCCGACACCCATCAGGGTGAGTGCGGGGCCCATTCAGCCTCACGAACTTTGGTCGGAAAAGCCTTCCGGCAAGGCTTTTATTGGCCGACTGCATTACAAGATGCCCAAGAATGGGTCCGGCGGTGCAAGGCATGCTAGTTCCACGCCAAGCAGACCCACCAGCCGGCCCAAGCCTTGCAGGTCATCCCACTCTCTTGGCCTTTTGTGATCTGGGGGCTAGACATCCTTGGACCATTCAAGGCGGCTCGAGGCGGGTATCAGCACTTGTACGTCGCCATCGACAAGTTCACCAAGTGGCCCGAAGCCTACCCGGTCGTCAAAATCGACAAGCATTCTGCCCTCAAGTTCATCAGGGGCATCACGTCTCGATTCGGAGTGCCCAACCGCATCATTACAGACAACGGCACCCAGTTCACCAGTGAGCTGTTTGGCGATTACTGTGACGACATGGGCATCAAATTGTGCTTCGCCTCGTCCGCCCACCCCAAGAGCAACGGCCAAGTCAAGCGAGCCAACGCTGAAATTCTTAAAGGGCTCAAGACCAAGACGTACAACGTCCTAAAGAAGCACGGGGATTCATGGCTCGAGGAGTTGCCCACCGTGTTATGGGCAAATCGGACCACCCCAAGCCACGCCACCGGGGAAACGCCGTTTTTCCTGGTGTACGGCGCCGAAGCGGTCTTATCCTCCGAGCTTTCCCTGGGGTCGCCTCGCATCGCGCTGTACAATGAGGCCACCCAGGATGACCTTCGCCACGACAATCTCGATTATCTCGAAGAACGGAGAAGGCGTGCGGCCCTACGTGCCGCGCGCTACCAGCAAAGCCTGCGACGCTACCATCAGCGCCACGTCCGGGCCCGATCACTGCAAATTGGCGACCTCGTCCTACGCCGCGTCCAATCGCGCCTGGAGCTGAGCAAGCTCTCGCCAATGTGGGAAGGGCCATACAAAGTGATCGGCGTGCCCCGGCCAGGCTCCGTTCAGTTAACCACGGAGGACAGCACAGAGTTGCCTAACCCCTGGAATATCGAACACCTCCGTCGTTTCTATCCGTGGCATCGAGAGTTTTTGCTTTCCAGGAGCTCGGGCCAACCCCCGCACAACCCCTCAGTTTGTGCAGGCTTGGCTGGGGGCTACCACTGTGTATCCTTTTTCCTTTTACAAGCAATGAATTTTTCTACTTTTTTGTGAAGACCGTTCATTCCCTTCCTCTGGCTTGTCCTGGTTTAAGGGATAATCTGTGTTTACTCTGAACCCTAAGTGCCGTAGGGCGGCCTGAAAACCGCCAAAAGGGAGCACTAAAGCGGGCCACGCCCCGGGTTGCGCCGAACCCCAGGGGATCGGAAGGGCCTACACACGGCCGTCCCCGACCCCCGGTCGTCGCAGCCTTGGTCTGGCCAGTCCCGCTGGGCGGCTCCCTCGGGGCGACGGTCTTGCCTATCACCACTTAGGTACCATGGACCGAGCGTGGATTTACCTTCTTGCTAGAACAAGCCCGAGGGGGGGGGATGGGGTCAAAACGGCATTTCGATCACAGGCAGATTAATTATACCCTTTTGCTCTGGTTTCTTCTTCTCTCTATGTCACAGACATCCGATGGAAAAGGCAAAAGAGTAAAGGGGACTAAGGAAGTTTTAGTTGCAGAACAAGACAGGACGACACGATGGCCTAAATACAAGTGCCCGCTACGGGCACACAACAAAAGGGAATTGAAAGCGCGAGTAGTCACGGAGTGTCTGGGCCCCCGAGGCCGGCGCCGCTGACGACGTCGTCCCAGTCTTCGTCGCCCACGTCGTCGTTGTCACCCCCGCTTCTGCTCTCCTCGTCCGAGGCGAGCCCGAAGGCGAACCGGGGGGCCGACCCATCGAAGTTCGAGACAATCGCGTCGGCCGCCTCCCGGACTTGCTCCCGGGCCCTTGCCTCGGTCCCCGGGGGAAAATCTTCGAGCGCGCGCCATGGGACGAAGTCAGGCTCGCGCGCTTGATGGCTCGCGAGGACCAGCTCCACTGCAGCCCGTGCCAAAGAAGCTGACGACAACTTTATGGTCTCGCCGACCTCCTCCTCTAGCCTCTCCAGATCTGCCGCCAGCTCGTCCAGCCGGAGCATGAGTGCTGGCTGTGTGGGCGGAAGTTTGCTATCCCGGCGCACAGAAATGCCGACTCGGCGCCCCGCGCGCTCCAGCCGGTCGACGGCGTCGGAGAGCTGCCCGGGTCCGATCTCGTTGGTGAGGCGGAGGGCCGCGATCTCCCCAGCCTGATCTTGCACCAGGCGCTCCAGGTCGGCGAGGGTATTTTGAGCCATGGCGAGCTGGCTCGCCAACCCCACGCCGCCGAGCGGCCCGCCCGCTGCCAAGTCCTTCTCCCGGGCCTCCAGCTCGGAAGCCTTCGCCGCTATTGCCGCACGCTCGGCGCGAGCGCTCTCCAGATGCCGGGCCACGCGCCCGGCAACAGCCTCCTCGCGTTTCGCGAGTTGCTCGCCCAGCCGGCGCAAGGCTACCTCACGGCGGTTCACCTCGGCTTCGCGCTCGGCGAGTGTGGCGTCCCATTCCCGGCATGCCTCTTCCCGCAGCCGTAGCTCTTCCGCGCGGCGGTCCGCGGAAGCTTTCCCAGCGAGGGTGATCCGGTCACACTTGGCTGCGGCCTCTTCACGAAGGCGAAGGGAGGCCTCCACCTCCGCCGCCGTTCTCTTGTGGGCGGCCAAGGTGGACTCCCACTGATCTAACAGGCGCGCTCGCTCCTCCAACTCCTGGGCCCGCTGCGCCTGTTCCTAGCCGCGCGCGTTTTGTTCGCGCTGGCCCCGGTCGAGGACCACGATCCGCCGACGGATCGTGGCTTCAAACTCCTGTGCGGAGCGGGCACGATCATCCAAAGCCCTGCATTCAGCCTCGAGTGCCGCCGTCCGGGCCCGCAGCGAGGCGTCGGCCTCCGACGCCCACCGCTCGTCGGCAACGGCTGCGTCGAGGACGCCGCGGGCATCCCTGATCCTCTTCGCCAAGTCCTCGGCATGGGCCTCATACTGAAGGCGGATGTCGCCCAGCTCTTCATCCAGGACGCTCGAGGCAATCAGCGCCGCATGCTGCTCCTCCTCCGTCTCCCGCATGACGGAGTCCAGCGCCTGGATTTCGGCTAGTTGGGTCTGGCGCATTTTGCGCCCTAACCTCACCATATCGTCCACGGCGCGGCACCCCTCGTCAACTCGCGCGTGGTTCGCAGCGAGTTGTGCCCACTCTGCGTCCACAGCCGTTCGCTCTTTCGCTAGGGCTTGGACTTGGACGTTGAGCCCCTCCCGAACAGTGGAGTCGGCGGCGGCGAGCACCTGCAGAAGTGGCTCCATACTCGCCGGAGTCGGAGAAGAAAAAGCCACGGTCCGCCCCCGGGACGACGGGGTACTGCTGGATCCCCTGCGAGACTAGGGACTGCTCTCGGCCCCCCTTCTGCGAGACCAGCCCCGAGGGCGCCCCAAGCGCAAGGGGGAGCGGCTGTCCCTCTCGCCCCCTGCTTCGGGTCCTCGAGTAGATTCAGCCTCGGCCTTGGGCTCGGGACCGCCCCTAGCCTCGGCCTCGACCTCGGGCCCGGTATGTGTCCTGTGGGTCCCACCGCGAGGCTGCGAAGACCCCGCGGCCTTGGATTGGCCGGGCCCGGACCACTCCGATCGTTCGGATTTCGTCCCCCGCGAAGGGTCCGACCCTGAGACTCCATGAGAAAGAATCTCGCTACAAGAGAACCCAGATCGCGTTAACAAAGAAAAAAAAAAGGAGGGAACAAGAGGCCGAGCTGGGAAAGAGCACCGAAGTGGGTGCCAGCAATCGTACCTGTGGGGAGGGCGGTTGAAAGTCCACTTCGGGGGCTCGATGAAGCTCCCTCGGCACGGCTCTGTTTGCCCTATCTTCCGGAGCCGTTTCTTCTTCCGTCCGACCTCGGGCCCGGCAGGTCGCTTGTGGCCCGCTGGCGGACGATCTATCGCGCGCTCGGCGCCCCCTCCACGCGGGGGAGAGGGCGGCCGAGATTCGGGCACCTTCCGCTTCCCCTTTGGGTCGCCGGCCGAGTCGTCTCCGGGCCCGCGGCTCGGGCCGGGCGCCCTTGAGCCGCCACCACCGCCTAGACCACTTGTCCGGCTTCTGCCCGCGGTCGCGCCGCCACCACCCGCGCCGACGGTGCTACCACTGGCGCTGCCTCGGCTGGGCTGGCTCCTACCGGCACCGACAACCGACATCACAGCCAAGATGCTCTCCCAGTCGCGGTCGCAGCAGAGGGGGAGGATCCCATCTGGGATTAGCGTTTGCTCGGCGGAGTCCAGGCCCAGCACCCGCCGGATCACCATCTTCGCGTCCTCCTCCCCCCTGTCCCAGCGCTCGCCCACATGCATGCGCATGGGGTCGTTGGGACCAGTGTATTCCCACGCGCCACGGGATCGTTCCTGGAGAGGTGCGATGCGGCGGCGAAAGTAAACGCCAAAGACCATTGCCCCCGTGAGGCCCAGGCTTCGTAGGCCCCTGAGGCGATCCCACACCGTGTCGTATTCCTCGCCCAGCTCCGAAACCGCCAGCCATGCGGCGGATCTTTCAGGAGGACCAGCAGGAACTCGAAGTCGCGGGTGGTCTGGCAATGCGGTGTAGAACCAGTCTGTAACATACCAAAAATTAACCATTTTCTAATTCTGTATCATGCTGAGTCTTATGTTCTTAATAACTTCCTAAACCTAGGAAAATATAATTAGAGGGACCTTTTAAAACTATCTTGCATAAAATATCTTTCTGGTATTTAACTTCTTTTGTGTTTTTCATTTAAAATACATGTGGTTGAATTGAGGTATTTCTTGCTTTGGTTTAAAACCTTCTTTTGACTAAAATTTCTTTATTCAAAATTAGTTTGAAAACCCTTTCTATTTTTTTTATGGATTATGGTCCAAGAAATCCTCCAATTTTGCCCTTGAACCTAAACCAAAGTAATTCCAATCTCATTGGAATTAATTGTTAGCCCATCCTTTGATCTTAAACCCATCCTTTGATTCTCGATCCAAATATCCAAATTCCTCCTTTTGATTTAGCCACCAATTTAATTTCTGTGGCTTGATTTTCTCTTCGGCACAAGAATAGTATTATTTCAAAAATTGTGAATATTTACTCTTGTGCTAAGAAAAGTCCAATTTATATTCTTCACTCAACTTCCCCTTTTAGCCACAAATATACATCACACCAATTTTAGAGTTCAAATCCTATTTATTATCTTCAACTAATTCCCTTCTATATTCCCAAAAATATTTGAGGAATATTATTAATTTCCCTTCCTATTTGAGTGCTTCCAAATAAATTCCCTCAAACTCCACCTCTAAATATTGCACTCAAATAAATTAGGAAATCTCTTTTGTGAATTCTTTCCGAATTCGAATCCTTTGCAAAACCTAGTTATCCAAATCAAGTATTCAAATTAGACTTCCTTTCTTTTTGTCATCGGGCCGAAACTCCATTCTTTCTTCCTTTTGGTCCAATCCCTTTTCTTTTCTATTTTCCTCCTATTTCTTGGGCTGCCGGCCCAGCTAAGCCGAGCCGGCCCAAACCAGCCCACCCACCCAGCCGAGCCGCCTCCTCCTCCCGTGCGCGTGCCGTGCACAGCGCACGCCGCCGCCAACGCCTTCCCTCGCTGCGAAGTAATCGGCCGCCGTCATTCTTTTCTTCACGCTACCGTCGTCGTGCACTCCTTGACCTCCTCCTCCACAACCGCCTCTCTCCACCGACGTCCGCCGCCTATAAATAGCCGGCCATCCCTCCTCTTTTTCATACAACTCTCTCTCTCTCTCTCTCTCTCTCTCTCTCTTGCCATGCCCGGCCGTCGCCGTCGTCGGTCGATCTCCTCCCCTATAGCTTCCCTCCTAGTTTCCTTGCAACATCGGCTTCGCCTCGCTCCGGCGAGCCCATTTTTCCTGTTTCCCCCTTCTCCCCCACCCCATAGCAACCACCACTGCCACCTCTCTTTGCCGCCGAAGACAAGCTCTTGACTGCGCCGTTCCGGCCAACTCCTTCACTCTCTCCAACAGCCACCGCCCTCCCCGGGTGTGTCTTGCTCGGGAACATGTGTGGCCGCTGACGTCGCCGCCTTCCAACCGCCGGAAAACCGGCGCCCACTCTCTCCCTCTCCTCTGTAACCGGCAGGAAGAAGGAGAAGAAGAGAGGAAGAAGAAGACGAGAGAAGGAGAGAGAAAAAGAAAAGAAAAAGGAAAAGCATTGACAGGTGGGCCCCTATACAGTGTCTTTTCGTATTTTCTAGATTTAATTCAAATCCCAATCTTTAGAAGCCCATATCTCCTAAACCATATATCCGATTCCAGTGAAACTTGGACCTAAATTCATCTAAATTCAAACTCTTCATTTTGATACCAAATTTTCTATTTTAAGATTTTATTTGAATTTCCTTAATTTATTCAAATACTATTTGAATAAATATTTGATTAAATCTTATAATTGAATTTACAACTTAAATTTATATTTGCTTTTCAAATATTTTCTTTTATTCCAAATTACCCCTTTAGCCACTAAAAAGCCGCCGGTTGGAACTTTACGCCTTCCATGGGGACGTTCGCGGTTTACTATCCCCGACGTCGGACCGTTGGTTGTAAAGCCCGGCAAAAACCAAACCTAAGGTCGAAGTGCTGCTCCTGGCACCCTACGCCTTGATGCGTATAGCGGTCGGAGCTTCACTATTCCCTCGACCTCCACAGCACGCCGCACAGTTAGCTCTTGGGCTCTGTGTGATCCTAGCCGCTCCGCCGCCACTCACGGTTGTAAGAGTAACACTTCCGCCCCACTAAACCCACACAAACTTCCTATCCCTCTAGCCGTTATGCTATCTGTTGACACCGGCTAGAGAAGATACCAATTCTAGTCGTTATACTGCCCAACTCTAGCAACGACTAGCAAACACCCAAATCCCAGCCGATATTCATCCTACCTCGATATCGGCTGCTTAATCAAATGAAACCCCAGCCAGCCTGCTATCCAAACTCCATACCAACCATTTACCCTTCTACTACCCATAGCCTATGCATGAAATACGAGCCGATATGCTATCCTATTTCAGCATCGACTCGAGAACAACTAAATCCTAGCCATTCTTCTACCAAAGCCCAACCTCGACCAATGCTAGCCACATATCCACTTAACCAGTTAGATTATTCGGTATATCCCCTATTCTCCAAGAAACCAAAAACCACACATAAAATATAAGTGACAATTGTTACTTAATCCCCTCTAGCCTCCAACCCTTCAGAACCTACACATATTAGCCCAGTAATCCCTACACCTTATAAAGGAGATAGGTTATACCCTAAACCCTAGCCCTTTTAGTTGTTTATCGTTTTCTTGTTATTTTATGGATTTTATTGAAATTGGTTCTTCCTCTTTCTTAGTAGAGTCTATTTTGGATGGCAGCCTGTGATATTTCGAGAATCGGATAATCAGGTTGCCTATCTCGGATTTATTTGCGTTGGAGCAAGGCAAGTTATTATTCCTCCCCTTGAACATAATTACCCTATATTCTATATTTCTATTCTATGCATTAGCCATTCATGATTTTGAATGCATAACCTAAACATATAGCAAACCAGATATGCTAACTTTTGCTCAGCCCTGCCTAGTTAGACTGCATAAAAATATAATGAATTTAGATTGGGACAGTACGTAAGATTTGGTTGATTTCCGGGTGGCTAGTACTGTCTCAGTAGATATAAGTTTACCAAATACTTATGTCAAACGAACGAGTACGACCGCAGCTTCTAGAATGGGGACAGACCTAGATATTATGTTAATTAACAATGTGGTACCTCTGTACAGTGGTTCCTTTTGTAAGTCCTCGCGCAGGAGGCAATCTTATGCCGAGCAGGGCATCTTATGATATTTACCGAGGCGCAGGTAAATATACTAATTTTCGCTCATGAGCTGTGTGTGATTTTATGGAAACCTGGTTGAGATGACATGGGGTCTCTCATCCAGTTCTCTCTAAAAACCCCGGGAACGCCAGAACTCCTCTCGCCGCTGATAACATTACGTTCAGAGCGCATGGGGAGTAGAGTTCATGGAATAGGTGCCACTATTGTTAATAACCTAATACTGGGCCATGACTAAGCTAATGAATATTGGCAAGTCGTGGACTGTGGGTAAAGCGTACATCTACTGCAGTAGAATATTTATGAAACTATTCGAATAGCCGTGCTCACGAATTTGAGCATCGGGACTCATATGGTATTTGGTTAGAAACTTAATTCCAGATTTTATTAAATACTGTTGCATCAAACACATTGCAGGATTTCTCCTTCTATATTCTCTGCTTTCTGCAAGTAATCATAGCTCTACTCAAATACTACTAATTCATACATTCATATTGAATATAATAGCTTGCTGAGTACATTGTACTCACCCTTGCTTCAACCCCCTTTTCATAGTCATTTTGGAGTTCTTATCGAAGCCGGGAATTCAATCACATAAGTTAGTTCCCTTTAAACCTAGTCTTGAAATCTAGTATTGTTAGATGGTTTAACTCTATAGCAAAACATTAGAGTTGATTTATTCTATAGCTTATGCTATATTAGTTAGCCACAAGTTTGTAAATACCCATGTATCTTATAATAATATCTCCTCTAGAGCCTTGTTCAAATGTATGCAATGAAGATCCAGATTGTTGAACCTGTATCAATCTACTGGTCCAGGGCTTGATACAGTCTAAACATGTCGGTTTCCGAATCATTAATTTTGGGACCCGACACAGTCCTTCTTCCAATCCTCCCATTTCTTGCGGAGATGACTCTCGATGTACTGCCCCGCCGTGCCTGGTCGCGGCTGGAAGTAGCATCCCCCCACCACCGCACCTTGCAGCAGCTGCGGGATGAAGAAGGCTTGGAACAGCTGCATCGTCGGCCGTACCCCGATGAACATCTCGCACAGATGCGCAAAGATGGCCAGCGTCATCACTGCGTTGGGTGCGAGATGCAAGGCATGGATTTCGTAGAAATCCAGAACCTCATGGAAGAATCTGGAGAACGGCGGAATCAAGCCGCCATGGCGAAGGACAACAGGTGCACGGATCGCTCCGGATATCGCGGCCACGATTCCCCCGCCCTCACAACGGCGCCATCCGGCATGATCTTGCGGGGGAGGCTAAGGTGCCTATCTACCGTAATGCGGGAAGAAGGGAGCACTGTGTCGCCAGCATCTTGAGCCATGGTGGCCGGCGGAGCAGTGGCGGAGAGCGCACCGCGCGGAACAGTGTGAAGTGGCGAGAATGTTAGGGTTCGAGGAGCGAGAGGACGAGTGGGCGGTTGGCGAAAGGAAGGAGGCGAAGTCCCTGCCTCCGCCCCCTTTTATCCTCGTCTCATCCGCGCTCACCTCCTCGTTTCACGCCCTCATCATTGCCCCCACGATCCTCGCGCCCGCAGTTGTCTCTTCGTTTGCCGCGCCCACTCATCACGTTGCCCGTTGTATCCGTGTCCCGCCTTTAGTGCGCCTGTCAGTGGCACACTCGAGGTGGAATACGCAACGGCCATGAGCGCGAGCTGAGCGAACCGTCACCACTACCGCCGCGGGAGTAGCGGGCGAGGGAATCGAGGTGTGGTCTGGCCGACCCCCCGGTTATCGCGCCTCAAGCATCCTCATCATTAGCGCGGTCAGTGGTGGTCAAACCGCTGCTATGGTTGGCACGCCAACCCGGCTGCTAGGCAACTTTCCTTTCGATTCCCCGACGGGCCCACAACCCCAGCTTGAGAAGTCGTGAGGCACCATGTCAGACCGATCTCAGGAAGCCAATGTCTGATATGGTGCCGGGGGCTACTATCGGAGATATGGGCCCGGGGGTATGTGAAGTAAAGGGGAGTTACCTTCCCGTCCAGCCACGTGGCCCGGCAAGCTGGCCCCACTTACGCACCTCGCGAGTCGCGAAAGCGGCGGGGGGGGGGGGGGGGCCTCGGGGCGCAACGTCGCCCCCTCGGGCTCTCCCGCTGCTTCCCCCCGAGGCCCTTGCCCGGCTGCCACGTGGCAGGGGGAGAGAGTGAGAGGGGGACGCAGGTTGAACAGCCATAAATGTGCGGCGCCCCAACTGTCCCTCACTGCATTTAATGCGGTAAGGGCAGACGTGTGGTGCGCCTAACCGACCCCTGTCAATCGGATGTGACCAGTCTGTGACCGGCCTGTTGCCGGTCATGTCCGGTTGAACGGGCGGCCGTGCCCCCACGTCGCCTCTGTCTCCGGCGGAGTGGGGGTAGGTATGACCCGTCACGTCATAGCGTCACTCGAAGGAGGGCTGCCACAAGTCTTCACTCTTTTATGAGGGAATGACAGGGCTGTCCCCTGTGTCAGGCGGGGACGGCGCTGGGACCCACTCAAGGACCGGTTGCTGCTTAGCTTCCGGGGGAAGGCACGGATTGAGGCCCGGTCAAAGTGGAGCGGGGTCCCCCTCCCATGGAGGGGTAGGTATAGGCGGTGCATGTGGTATCCCCTTGAGCTATAAAAGGAGGACCTTGCCCACCGAGACAAGAGGACGACTATCAGAAAACTTGAACTCTAGGAGAAGGAAAGCGAGAGCGCTCTCCAGAGTAAAGGATCCTTTGTAAAACTCATCCATAATCCCAAACATAGGAGTAGGGTGTTACGCTCCATAGCAGCCCGAACCTGTATAATCCGATTGTGTGCAAGCTAGCCGGTAGTCTTAGGGGCGAACACGTGTTTTCCAAGAGGCGAGCCTCAGCCCCCGGCCGAACTCACGAAAGGGGGGTCTTGCGACTCCCCGCCATCGAGGATCTTCCCTCGACAAGACTCTATTCCAAGCAGCAAAATGTTTCCTTTTGTAAGAAATATCATACCCTCTCCAAAGACAGTTTCTTCTTGCAGAGTCAATGGCCAAAATAACTGTTTTTGGCAGTTGCAAAGAGCACATAAAGTATGTGGGTATTGCAGATAAGACAGAATTGATGAGAATTAGCCTTCTCTCATAATGTAAAAAAGTAGCACTAGAAGTTAATCTTCTTTTAATTCTATCCGCCAAAGGTGCAAAATCTATCACTTTGGGCCTAGTAGTTCCCATAAGAAGACCTAAGTATGTGAAAGGGAGAGTTCCAACTTTATAGTCTAAAAGGCTAGACAACAGCTCAATCTTATCTTCAGCAACATTAAGAGGATAAACATTAGACTTATGGAAATTAATTTTAAGTCTAGTAGATTGAGCAAAGGTATTCAACAAAGCTTTAACACAAAAGAATTCCTTCTGATCTGCCTTCAGCAAGATAATGGTATCATCTGCATACTGAATAACTGGAAAATCACTTTCATCATCAGGCCTAATAGGTTTAGTTATAACCCCCAATCTGCAGGCCTCATTCAAAATAGCCTGAAGAAGCTCAGCTCCTAAAACAAAAATTAAAGGAGACAATGGATCACCTTGCCTTACTCCCAGTTTACACTTGAATCCATTGCTAGGTACTCCATTGAGTAACACAACTGAACTGGCAGAACTAAAGATCATTTCAACCCAATTTAACCATTTAGCGGGAAAGCCCATATGTCTCATAATATCAAGGATTGCACCATGCTCAATGGAATTAAAGGCTTTTTCAAAATCAATTTTTATGATAACAATCTTTCTTTTAGATTGTTGACACTGATGAATATATTCGAAGGCCCAAGCTAAATAGTCCTGAATTGTCCTACCCTTGATAAAACCATATTGATTCTCATGGACCAATTTAGTTATAACTCCCTGCAACCTATTAGCCAATGCCTTAGTCAGAAGTTTGAGACTTATATTCATCAGAGAAATCAGTCTAAAATCATTCACAACCTCTGGATTATTCTTCTTTGGAACCAAAGTAATGAAGGAAGAATCTATGGACTGAATATCAACACAGCCTTCATAAAAATGTGCCATAAGCCTGTAGAAATCTTCTGCAACTATAGGCCAGCATCTTTTCATAAAGAAGCTATTAAAACCATCTGGTCCAGGGGCCTTACAAACAGGCATCCTTTTAACCAAATCATCAATTTCCTGAGTGAAAAAAAGGATGAACTAGAGAGTCTAGGTTTGTTATCCTCTGAAATAGACTAGGAAGATTGAAAGCCATTTTGGCATCAGTGGTAGTACCCATTTCGTCTTTAAAAGACATGTAAAACTTGCTTTTTCTTTATGAGAAGTGACTATATTACCCATACCATCTGAAATACTAGAAATTGAGTTCATTCTATATCTCTCAGTAGCCATGGCATCGAAAAATTTAGTATTCTCCTCCCCCAAAACCATCCATTTATTTGTACATCTCTTTTTCCAGTACTTCCTCCTGTGAGCCAATAACTTAAGAATGTGCCTTTGAATTATTTCTCTCAAATTCCATTCTGACAAGATCAAAACTCTATATTCTTCAATCAGGTCCATGAAGTGAATCACTCTACAGCTGTTTTCTATCAACTTATTGAGGAGCAAAAGATTTTTACTCCATTTGGAAAGGGCCTTATACGAGATGCATTTTGCAAGATCTTTAAAACCAGGATCAATCGACCAAATAGAAGCCACTCTTTCAAAGAAACCATCAACATCAACCCAATAATTCTCAAAACGGAAAATATTACACTTCGGGATTTTTGTTTTGATCTTAACAACACAAGGGACATGGTCATAAATTACTCTTGGCAAAGGAATGACTGTTGTATTAGGATAAGAAGAGTCCAATTTGGAGAGGTAAAGAATCAATCCAGTTGTTCCAAAAGGGGATATTGTTGCATATTACTCCAAGTAAAGGCTCTTCCTTTAATAGGGAGTTCTAAAACTTTAATAGGGAGTTCTAAAAGACCCAGAGTGTTTATGATATCATTTAAAATAAAAATATCATTCATATCAGCTCCCATTTTATTTCTATTTTCAATTGATCTATAGAAATTAAATTAAAGTCACCAAGGAAAAGCTAGACATCATCCTGATCCATCTGGAAGTTTCTTAACCAAGATACAAAATTATCCCTCTCCTGTCCACTACAAGGACCATAAACACAAGCAAGAAACCAAGTTTCCTTGTTCTGGGTGGAGACAAATTTTACCAAAAGAGCATGATCAGTGCTTGAATGAATATCACCCTTAAAAAACTTACTAATCCAAGCAACAAGAATGCCTCCAAAAGCCCCTCTGGAAGGGACAAAAAGAAAACTATCTAACTTACTAATCCAAGCAACAAGAATGCCTCCAGAAGCCCCTCTGGAAGGGACAAAAAGAAAACTATCAAAAATTTTTGGCAAAACTTTCTTCAGAAACTCCTTATCTATAACCTCTCTTTTCGTTTCCTGTAAACACACAACCTGGCTATTACTGTCAGACACAGGCTGTCTAAGAGCATCCCATTTTTCAACAGCATTTCAACCTCTAATATTCTAGCAGAGCACATTCCAATCACGACAGCTGCTGTCAGCCATAACATACTGCATATAACGAATAAAAAGTTATAAACGGAGTTTGCCTGATAAAGATTGGGCCACAGAACTTCATTACAAATAAAATAACTGAGTGAATATATCAAGTTCAGACTGCAAGCAAGCAAAAGATAAGGACTTGTCCTACAAAGGTTTAACCAAAACAACTAACATGACCAAACTAGACAAGAATTAAAATTATTCTGCATCTTCAGAAGGTCTTGCGAGTTCCTTCAGCTTTTCTCCTTCAAGCTTTGACTTAGCCACATCCTCAAGATGAAGGCCGCACATCTCTGTTCCCATCTTTTGCAATAAAGAAACAGAACATTCAGCGCATACCAGTGATAGCTTAGAGACCGAGAGCTAAGTTGACAAGGGAAGAAATGGGCTCGCTGTGCTTAACAATTCCAACACCATAGTAGAATATCTTAAACATTTCAAGCCTTTCTTCTGTTCCAGCTACTTCTTTCAGCGCCTTATCCATTTCACACTGAAAGAAAACTTCATTGCAGTGGCTACTGCATTGCTTCATCCAAATGATTAGTTCTACTGCGACTCGCCTTATCCCTGGGAACTCGATGGCTGGTGACTTGTATAAATCTAGGATCTTTCTAAGCTTCTGCATGACCATGTACACTGTAACATTGGCACTCCGGAGAGCTTCATTGAAATCGCTTGCGTGAATGGATGTGCAGATCTGAACACTGAGCCCAACAAAGCTCTCTAGTAGTGCACCCTGCTTGGTCCTCCATTCTTGGAAATTCTGTGTTTATATACACCACCAAGAATATATTTAGAGAGAGAATTAATAACTGATAAAAGATATATGATTTTGGAGAAATGTGTGATTTGGAGGATAACTTTCTTACATTAGCATGTTCTCCAGCATACAGTACAGGATCCTCTAGCTTCTCCACTTCTGACTTTATTGCTTTCAGCAGCTGTAGATGATGACAGCACAAGCATTAGAATTATAGAATTTAACACTGTAAGGACACTATAAAACTTTTAGAAAATAATAACCGGACATTACCGTTGGTAGTGCAGTGTTGATTATTGTCTTCTGAAGATGAGCATGCTCTGCTCTGGAGTTGGCGTGTAAAATGCCCGAAAGTTTTGCAACGTTCGTTTTGAACCCAGTAGAGTCAGCAGAGAGCATCTCGACAAGTTTCTGCATGTCTTGAGGCTTCAGTTCTTCTTGGATCTTCCAGACAATGCTTTGATTATCCATTGCAAGCATAACTAGTGCTTCAGCATTAGGTTTTGCTAGCTGTCTTCTATCAGCTGAAATTTCAGAAATCATCTGTGACCTTGGAACAAGGAAAGAGACAAGCTTCCTAATAATTTGTGGAGAGGATGCAATCTCTTCCCTCCCGGTCTCATCCAATGCTAAACAAGCAAGAACTCCAATGGCTTCAACAAGTAGCTTTACTTGGCTTCTAGGGTGTTGTAGTATCTTGCTAATGTTCCTGAGTACATAGACATTGTCAGAGACTTTGCACCTAAGCACTCTCCCAGAATCACCAGCAGCGCTAACTAGCTTGTGCAACACCTGAACTGCCTCCAAAATGATCTCTTCGTCTCTGACTGCAGATGATGAGACTATGCTCAAGCTGCGATCATCACCAGTAACAGCTGTGAGGTTCACAATGCTTGCAATCACCTGGCCATCAGCATCCGCGACCTTGTTGCAGTTGTCCGGATTGTCCATGATCTTGTTGAGGATTTTCACACCGAACCAGGTGAACTCCATGCTCACAGTCACATCGTTGCCAGAGTTGTCAGCAGCAACGATCAACGATGACACGATCGGCAGCATTGCTGGGAAGCTCTCAAGGAGAAGGTCCCGAGAGAGCTCCAAGATGACGCCTGCAGCATGCCCTCTGGTATTCACTTCCTTCCGGGTGTTGTTCGTCAGTCCTAGCATGCTGACCACGCCGCCGACCGTGTCGGCAGAAGCTCGGAGCCTCATGAGCGCCAGCGCTCTGTACTTGGGCACTCTAAGGATGCTGTCAAGAACACCGACCCCGACGAGGCGATCCGCGATGGAGTTGGATCGCACCAGCTCCATGGCGAAGCTAACCAGGTCCATGTTCATGGCTTCGCGGACGTTACCACCGGAGCATCTCAGGTAGGTGACAAGCATGTAATGGCTCACCATCTGCTTCCCCAAGGGGCCGAGCTGGTACGCCTCCGTGATCTTGAGCACCAGCTGAATGTCGGCGACGGTGAACATGGCTTGGGCTAGCAAGTCGGAGGCGCCCTGTACGAGCACCAGGCCGTAGAAGAGGTTGAGTGAACCCTTGATGCTCTTGTGGTCGCTGCTGCCCTGGTCCGCCGGATCAACATAGTCTTGCTTGCTCAGGCGCAGCGCGGCGAGGACGACGGAGGCGACGGCGGCGGAGTACAGCACGAGCGCGAAGCCCATCAGCAGGAGCTTGGCGAGGAAGAAGCCGCAGCTGCAGCGCTTGGCGTAGTATGACGCGACCTTGGCTCTCAAGCCTTGTGCTGTCACAGACGACGACGACACCTGCCGGTTGATGCTTATGTGTCTTTGCCAGCTTCCATTCTCCATAGCCTCAAATCTTTCGGTCTCTGCCGCCACCACTTCAGGAGCATTGAGGATGAACTGATCCCTTGGATCCACGGCACTGCTGAAAAGCCTGCCATTTGGAAAGTGGGATTGCAAAGTGCAAGTTAGTGAGGATCCGTTTAATTCACCCCGGCCTTCTTGTTTTGTACAAGGCACTATATGCGAGAGTTGAAGAAAGGAAGGGACATGTGTTGAGTTAATCTCGTTGTTTATGTTTTCATCATGTTCAGTCAAGTCCTGTATGGCGGTCTGAGTTCAAATTGGTTAGTGTTTTGTATGGTGAGGTGAGCTGATCAGCCGTTAGTGAAAGCACAAAATAAGCACAAAGTGGAATTTTTTTTGAAATTATACTGTTGAAGTTTTTTTTTCTCAAAAATATATGAGATTCAAACGGTTTTACATGAATAGACCGTCGTCGCAGTTCAGCAGTACGAACTATTAGGAAACCGCCGGCCCATGAAGGCCCGGCCCGGTTACCCACTAATTAGGCCCATCACTAAATATGGAAAGTGCTCATGGCTATGCCTATATATAGAGGGGAGGAGGTGCTATTGTATTGGACAAGTGAATGAATGAAAGAAAAGAGTCCTACCCCTACATCTCTATGTCTCCAATTCTTGTAAACATTACGGGACCCTCTTGAACTACTTCGTGTAGCAGGAGGGTTGCGTAATACGTTATCAGCATGACGTTTTACCGAAGACCAAGGAAGAAAAAGGGTAAGAACTCGCAGATCCGTTTTGCATCTCGCCGATCTAATCGCGAAAACGAATTCCTCTCTTTCTCTTTGTTCTTGTTCCGTTTTTGCCGTTCTCGACGAAATCCACCACAGCCGACTTGGAGTCGCCGGTGTATGCCGATTGGTGGAAACCGCGATTGACAATACACGGCGTTTGCATGCTGACGAAGCGCCATGGCGGCGAACCCGCGCCATGGCCGCTAGCCTGCGCATGCAACACCACGGCCGCACCCTGCAAGGGCAGCGTGCCTGCGTGCCATGGAGGCACTGGCCGGAGAGGACTTCAAGGATGAAGAACAGAACCAAGAAAAGAAGGAATAAAATTGAAAAAAAAAAGAGAAAAGGCCACGCCGGCCGCACCGCTGAGGCTTGCGACGGCGACGGCGGTGCCCGTAGAGGTCGCGACTGCGCCGTCTATACAAAAACGGCCGCACCCGCGCCGCCCTCGCCGCCGACGCACGGCCGAGCATCACCGGCCCACGACTGCACTGCGCCGCGCCTCGCCATCGAACGGCGGCGCGCGCACCATCCTCGCATGGCCGCATCCTGTGCCAAGCCCGCGCCCTGCAAACGCATCGCTAGGCCACCACTGCCGACCGGCCTGCGCCTCGCCGAGCCCGGCCGAGCCCGCACCAAGTACCGTCGGTGCCACACCGCTTGCGGCTTGCGCTGAGGACGAGCCGCATGGCCTCACCCCGCCGTCGCACGGCTGCACCGCGCCGGCTTCACCCGCGCCGCTCCGGCCGCCGCGAGGTGCCGCATCTTGGCCGGCCGCGCCGCCGCATATGGCAAATGCCCCAATCAAAGGAAGAAATTGAATAGAAAAAGAAAATGTGGGGAACGTGATGAGGCAGTGTCGCCGGCCACCGAGCCCATGCAGGGCCATGCCGCCGCCACACGGCCACCCCTCGCCGACCACCGCGCTGTCCACCGCGCCTGCGCCGGGCCGCGCTCGGCCGTCGCACGGCCTCGTCGCGCCTCATGGCCGCCGCGCCACGCATGCGCGAGGTCGCCACCGAGCCGCCGCGCTGCACCTGCGCGACGCCGCCGCCGACCCAGCGCGCCGCGCCCGCGCGAGGCTCGCTGGACAGCCGCCGCGCCGGCCACTGCCCGCTTGCCATGCATGGCAAGGGAGCAATCAAAGGAAGAAGAAAGGAAAGAGAAAAAAAAAACAAGGAAGCAGCAAACAGCTATGGCCGCCGGCGCAGCCTGGCCGCCTCGCCGCCGCGCATGGCCGCCTCGGCGCCGGCACCGCCTAGAAGCCGCGCTTGGCAGCCTGGACGCTGCGCATGGCCGCCTCGCCGTCGTGCTGCCTTGACGCCTGGCCGCCCCGCCGAGCAGGAAAGATTCCCCTGTGATTTTGCAAAAAGGCCCTTGCTGTTTTTGGAAATTAAGCGCATGATCCTCTGCATTGGAATCTTTGCGTCTTAAACCCTGAACTTTCTAGAAAGCACGCAAATAACCCTCTGCATTTGGGATATTTGTTTCAATGGCATCAAGAATTTGCAAATATCACCGAAATCATATTCTCGCATAAACCCCTTGGGCCTGTTTGGTATAGCTCCAACTCTTAAATATAACTCCAGGAGTTGAGTCTGGAGTGGAGTTGTGGAGCTGCCTAAACCCAACTCCACAACTCTAGTACATTTTGTGAGAGAGCTCCACCCAACTCCACTCCTAGTTTTGGTGGAGCTGAAACTGTTTGGCTGAGCTCCAGCTCCAGGAGGGGTGGAGCTGGAGCTGGAGCTGTGCCAAACAGGCCCTCTGAATTTTTGACCTCGACCTCGCATTTCAGGTACCTTTATTGCTGATATATATGATTATGAAATTTAATTATCGCATTTACGATTATTGATTATTTGTGATGCTTTTATTACTTTTAATTAATACCGTTGTGATAAAATGTATAGAATTGCATAGAATATATTGGAATTATTTGCGGGAATCTTGTGAACCATTATATTGCAACAGTTGTGCATTTTTACCTGAATCTAATTTTGCGCATATATAGAAAAATGACGTGCATCGCGAATTAGAAAATTTGCCGAATCTTGAATATCTCTGATATATTTATTCAATGCCGAAATTACAATAGAGCAAGACGCTCTATGGTACCATTAATCCAATCACGCTATAGGCATTGACTCGATGAGTTTGATCTAGCATTTCAAACTCTCGCCAGTGCCTCCAAGCTACTCTCATGAATGAGTACGCTAAACGCATGAGCGCGTTAGCATTTAGAGGATTATGGTATATACCTTATCTTTCGTAGAGCAAGAACTATAAGCAAGAATGGGTATTTTTCGACTATGATTCACCAAGCAGATGACCCAGAGAGAGTATGGTAATATGATGCATCGCATTTGCATTGAATACCGCTGAAACTCTTAATGTTCTACCCGAACGTGACGAAAGTTGCATGCAAGTATCACTAGTACACATACAAGAAGTATGCCTAACTAGTTGATAATTGAATTGCGTAATGTTCAGGATAGTGTTCACTAGAAAAAATTGTCTTCCAAAACCAACTAGCACAGTTGATGGCGAGTTCAACACGAGTAGCTAGCTTGGTGCACTTACCTCAACGAAAGAGGAGGAAAATGGGGGAGTAGAACACAGGTCAAGGTGAAACAATCTAGAACTATGAACATTAAAGGAAAAGGACAATCCTAATAGCACGCTCATCATGAATTGAGGGGGAAAGCTCCTAGCCTATTTGCATGGCTATGGACGAAGAATCTCCTATGCTATATCGGATCAGCCCTAAAATTGATGTCAGGATAATAAATAATTGCCATAGCTGTCGAGCAAGAAGCTCGCTACGAAGTTAATTGAATCCGAAGTACCGGAATACCTCGTTGAATCAATATACTTCGTCATCACTTGTTGCAATTGTGAAATAGAATATTGGATTGAATAAATGATCTTTGCCCATGTAGAGCACACATTTTCCCCGCAATAAAGAATTATTTCCAGTATAAAATAGCATATTTAAGGCATTTACTATTTTGTTGCTCTCTTATAGCACATAGTTACAATGCTTTGAATTTTGTGTACCACCCAAACATAAAAGAAAAAAATGAATTGTGGTCCGCGTAACCACAAATAACACTTTAAGAGAAGGAGGTATTTCCAGACCCTATAGAACTGGAAATATTATGACCGTTGCTAGCAGCAACAACTGAATTTGTCGGCTTAGAATGTACCACAGTCATATTACCTGTGGAACAATTGTGCACTTTATAGAAGCATCTATTGTCCGTCAACCCCATTGAACTCTCTAAAAAGTGTGATGATTTGGGCTACACCCTCTTAGCAATGGATTTTCAGCCATTTTTGGTCTTAGAATTATAGGCATAAATATTACAACTCGTATGGTCATAGCACATATATGCATAATTTTCCTAAATCATGAAGATTTGTGTGCCAGTATGCACCGACAGGAGATCAATGCATAAACCGCATATTGTTCTAGCATCCCTAAACTGGATTGCGAAGAATATATGTGGCTTCCATTTGGTACTGTATGGATAAACGCGCTTCCGAAGCAGCAAACATCAAGTGTCTCTTAGACACCGTGTCTGCCAAGACTGATCTAGCAAGATCATGTGAACTCCAATAGAACTCACTAAATGATCTTCAGAAGTCCGCGAGGACAATGCTT